TCTGGACCTGCCCCACCCTGGGGCAGGGTGCTTCTCTGCCGCCTGGGGGGTGCACGGCTCTAGCAAGCAGTTCTAGGCCCTCCCAGAGTGGGGGACTCGTCGGCCGCCACCAGCGGGGGTGCACTAACCTCTAGCAAGTACTTTTGTGGTTGCCCGGCGCAGGGGGCTTCTCTGCGGCCGCCCGCCACCCGCGGGAGGGGGGCGGCTCTAGTAAGCAGTTCTGGGCCCCACTCTGTACCTGTATTTTATGTTCTTAAATGATCTTTCTTGGATTTATAGCTTGCCGAACTTCTTTCTGGGCTCAGCTCCCCGTCTTTGGCTTCATAGATTCTGATTCCAACCAGTTTTTCTTCCTTTGCTCAGGAGCCTCTGACCAGGGTTGCTACCAGTCAGCCATCTTCCCAGAATCCCCCTAAGGTGTTCTAAGTATTAATTGAAAGTGTATACGTGGAGTCTGATAGCTACACCTGGTACATGAGTACTTGGTAATGTTTCCTCTGCTATGAATAGAATTAGGAGGGATCAATATTCATGTATAAGTTGTCGAAATGCATTCAGTTGTAATCATTTATTAATTTACTCAAACACCAAATAGTATGTCTTAACACTGAGTATTAACAGATGAAAAAATTTTAGCCCAGTAACATCTTTTAAATTGTGGGGAATTGATGTAATAAACAAATGTTTATATTTGACATATTGGTGATAAATTCATTTAAAATTCTGGCCAGAACAACAGAGTAAGACTCTGTATCAACAACAACAAAAAATTCTATAAATTCCTAGAATGGCGGTCCTCAGTCCCTGACTATGGACCAGTGTCAGCCTGTGGTCTGTCAGGAACCAGGCTGCACAGCCGGAGGTGAGTGACAGGCATGGGAGCGAAGCTTCCTCTGTGTTTACAGCCGCTCCCCGTCACTCGCATCTGCGCCTGGTCCCCACCTCCTGTGAGATCAGGGCTTGTGTTAGATTCCCATCACACTGTGAACCCTGCTGTGAATGGTGCACGTGAGGGATTTAGGTTGTGTGCTCCTTATGAGAAGCTAATGTCTGTGATCTGAGGTTGAGATGTAATGTGCTTGAATCATCCTGAAACCATTCCCCCCATCCATGTCTGTAGAAAAATTGTCCTCTAAGAAACAGGGTTTCTGGGGCCCCAAAGGTTGGGTATTGTTGGTCTAGAAGCAGCTGAATTGTTCCTCCACAATGTGTGGTACTGGACGTAGTCCCCCTCTTGTGAATACCCATGCCACTCTAACATTTATTTTTTTTTTTTTTGCAGTTTTTGGCTGGGGCTGGGTTTGAACCTGCCACCTCTGGTATATGGGGCCGGTGCCCTACTCTTTTGAGCCACAGGCACCGCCCAAGCTAATTTTTTATGTCATGCATTACATTTCTTATTAAGTTTTGTATGTTTGTTATACCTCCACTGCCATATGAGTTATTTAAACTGGGACATTTTGGAGACTAAACAGCAGTCCTATTAATACTGAAGGCAGGCTGGTTGGCAGGAGGCTGACACATCTTGGCTTATCCAGGGCATATGACTGTTGTACTTACCTCCCTCTCTGGGATATCTGATGAATCATCTTCATATTCCAAAAAGCACTTGTGACTGTGCTGGTGCTAATAGATAATCCATAAATGTTTAAAAGGAGTTACCAAATAGTGCCTAGACATAGGCAGACAGCAAATTATTTTTGTTTCTTAATAGACTCCTTTAATTTAAAGAATTGAAAACATCCACCTGCTTTCTGAGCAGGAAACAATCTAATTTGTCTCCTTAAGTAGGAAGTCAGTGTTTGGCTGTGTGAAGACAGAGTGTTCTACCAACTATGAAGGGAGACAAAACTGATCAAGAGGATGAACTTTAGAAAGCAGTGCACTATTTCCAAATTTTCCACAGAAGTACAAACCACTGATACATATTTATCTGCTGTTAGTGGTTGGGTGTTGTTACAAAGCCAAAGTACAGTGGGGCATGGCTCGGCCTAGTCATCCCTTGCCTTTGCTTCCCCTAGACAACGTTTCTTTAAAGTATTTTATAATTTGACAATATTCTTTCCTAACTCTAAAAACTGTATTTCTTCAAAGCTCAGTTGGCATATACCGTGTTTCCCCCCAAATAAGACACTGTCTTATATTTATTTTTTCTCAAGAAGACACACTAAGGCTTATTTTCAGGGGATGTCTTCTTCTCCATGCTGAAATGCATGTGTGGCTAAGCAGATACGCTGCACAGACATGCCCATTACTAGGTCTTATTATTGGGGTAGGGCTTATATTTAACAAATGCATAGAAATCCTACTAGGGCTTATTTTTGGGGTAAGTCATTTTTGGGGAAACATGGTAGCTGATGGGACATTTGGAATCTCCTGGGAGTAGGCCTTGTGTCATGGGAAGTCAGAATAATTGATATGTGTATTTTGATACTGTGCCACAGATATCAAGTTCAGTTTATGTCAGAAGGAGTGCTCTGGTTGGTTAGAACATGTTCTGAGAATTGTCATTCGAGATTATGTGAAATCTCTTCCTAAGTCTTCCTGTGTGTCAGAGTATCTGTCTAGCTAGAAATCACCCATTTGTTTAGCATTCATCTCCTATATATTTATCTGATGGTATATTACATTTGATTTCTTTTTTTCTGGCAGCAGAATCTTATATGAGTTTTTGGGTATTTTTTATATTTTTGGTTTATTATTTCTAAATCCAAAGGGAATTAAATTGATGCCAAATTGTATTTTGAAACTTCTCCTTGGTGTAAAGCCCTTCATTGTGTATGTGTGTACATGTGTGTGTAAAATATGAATTCAAACTTTATTGCTACTTTAAATCAACCAGGTTATTGAGATAATTACCAGGGAGTGGGAAGGCAGACCACTTTGATGGTGAGGAGGAAAACCTCAGTAGCCAGAGGACTCCAGTTTGACAAGCCCTGGGGTACTATTCCTGGCAAAAGGCAGGCCAGCCTAGGCTGCACTTGTGTCTGGTGCACTAGTCCTGTGCTGCAGGCATCAAGTCGAAGCTGTTCATTTGCATAGATGTTCAGAGTGTTACCGGGAGCGAGGCGTGATGGATTGTATTTACATTCTACAAAATGAATGTAATGTGATTTAATTTGGTAGATAAGTGCCTGTCTTAAGGACATAAATATCATCTGTCTAGAAGGAAATGGATATGAAGAAGTGGGGTTTTTTGTTTGTTTTGTTTTGTTTTTATTTTTTGCCTTTTGTTATTAAAGAAAAAAGGACAGTAGTTGAGTTTGGGAACTGTGCTCACTCTGGTCATACAGCATTCTAAAAGACCTGTAGATCAAGAACTGCCATTCACTGGATTTAAGAGCTTTGAGGCTTCTTTGTAATTCAGAGACAGGGCTGTGCGGCTTAGGTCAATAAACAATGCTGGGGGTCTGCTGCAAACCAGGTGCTAATGGGAAATGAGGGTCCATCATTCACAGTCCTTGTCAGGGCGCGTGGAGCCTCATGATGGGAGGGATATCTGCCAATAACAATTATAATATAAAATATTAAGTACCGTAGCAAAAATATGCATAAGTACCATGGAGTGTTGGTAAGATACCCTGGGTCCATGTGGGAGGGAGGTGACAGGAAGGCTCTTCCAAAGTCTCCTGTAGCTCAGTCACAGGATGAGTAAGAATCAGATGGGCTGAGAAAAGGAGGGGCAAGTCGTAGGGAAGGAATCCAGAGGCTGGGGACCTGCAGAAATGTGGGGCAGCAGGCGCATGGTATGGCAGACCCACAAGACCTTTGTGTTGACAGGAACATAACATTGCAGGGAACAGGAGTAGAGGAAGAAGATAAACTGAAGAAATGTTCAGTCAATTAAAAATCGACAAAACCTGGTGACAGTGCATGGGGTGTGATGTCAAGGGTGAAGTGATGGAAACTTCCGGGTCTCTGGCTCAGACAGTGTCAGGATGGCTGTTAGCCCAGAAGGTGGTATTACTCGGATTGGAAGAAGAGGTGCTTTCTTCTGGAATGGTGCAATCCTGTGGCAGGGTTGTGTGTAGAGCCCAGGGTGGATTTCTGCCTCCACCTGACCCTTTGTCTGGTGCTGTTGGGCAGTGCACAGTCTAAACAACTGGAAGGCAGTGTGGGCAAATGAGTGGCCAGTTGTCATTAGTGGAAATAGGAGGAGAAAACACCTGAGAGGTAACGAGGGAAGAGACGACAACACTGGCTTTTGAACCTGTTGAGTTTGTGGTATGTGGAGGGTCATTGTTCAGGTGAAAATATCAGTGAAGAAGTTGGATATATGATCTTAAAGCACTGGAGAGTGTAGATGACTTAGGGCTATTGAATATTTTTAAAAATTGCATTTCAGTTGTTAAAATTATTGAAAGTGAATGACAAGTTGAATTATAGCTTCAGTGGTAACTTGGTGGTTGGGTCTTCAAAACAGTTGACCTGCTCTATAAAAAAACTCCTTTCAAATATCTTTTCAAAGAATATCTACCACTGTTTATTAATATAAAGAAGAATGGTCATGATGAATTAGATTGGTGATTTTTTTTTCTTATCTTCTGTTTCAGATTGCTGTGCTATGCCTTGCATGATTAAGACCTCTTACTAAGAATACCTGTCACACCATGTGAGTACAGAAACTGACAGGGAGAGTGCAGTGACTCCTAATTGGTGAAGTCGGTCTCAACTAAGCAAGAAATGAGCATTTTGTTCCAACTCAGACCAAAACAATATTATCTGTTTTCTTTGTGATACGAATTCTAGATCAGATAGAAAACCCATGTCTATTGCCATTATTATTATTGTTATTACTAGTAGTTTTTAAAGGGCTATACAATGACAAGTGAAACTTTCGTTAGCTTGTTATCAGATTATTTATAACAACCAATTATAAGAGAGATAATTGAAAGCATGTTTTTATGGTTTGCTTTTATAATTCTGAAGGGGCAACCTCCCCCAACTTTTATGTGGCACTATTTTACAGAGCAACACTGCTGAGGAGTGCTGGAGGGGCAATGAAACAGCCCAACAGGAAAAGGAAGCTTAGTATGGATTCCAGAGAGCATTTGGATCAGGACGGATGCTTGGTAAGAGGCCAGCGCCCGGGCCCTCTGCATGGTGTGTGCTCACATCCACTTCATGTAACCAGACCAGGTGGGGGGGGTGTTCAGCCACTCCTGACTGCTCATTTCTATATGTTTTATGTATAGTGGCATAGAATATAAGTGTCAGTAAAGTCTGGTTCATTTTTAAAGGTAATCTTCATTTTAAAGGTGAAAGGAGACCTTTTCTTTTAGGAAGATGGTGTAGTTGATCATTAAATAAGAGAATTGAGGTTGCGTGTATGTGTGTGTAGAAAGAGATTGACAGAGAGAGAGACTTTCTTTTTTAACATAACTTACTTGTTATTAAAAGTATCTTGCATTCATGATGGATATTTTCTGGGGTTTGCTTATATTTTGATGTTAAAGGTTATTTTTTACATGTAGCAATATGAGTTTCCTCCACATAGAAACACTGATAAAAGGATGACATACGACATGAATTAAGTGTCTTTTTTACTTGAGAAGCTAACAAACTGTCTAGGTACATTTCTCCCTCAAAAGCCACAAACTGGGTAGTAACTAAGTCTCTAATCTAGGCAGTATATTCAACGCTAAGAAATAAAAATTTAAAAAAAGAAAACAAGCCCTTAGATCCCAATAAGGGAGCCCTTCTACATACAGGCTATTCAATACCGGTGGTACTGTGACTCCACGAGTCTAGCAGGTGTCCTGATAACCCTATTCAGAACATTTACTTCAAATAGCCTTTCTCTGGTTTCCAACTTACGAATTAAGATAGTATTTTAATTCTATTTCAGAAAACTTTTTGGAAGTTGTTTTATGTGCAATGCCAATTTTTAAAAGATCATTAAAGTTAACGGGATGATAAACTAGGCAGAAATCACTGTACAAAAAAGAGGAAAAGCCCAAGATGCCACTTTCTACAGAGAACCCACAGTTCAGTTTTATTCAGAGCAAAGAAAAAAGAAACTTTATTATGCTAGAAGAAAGTCAGCCATAGGTTTAAAATCTGTAGCCCAACTACACATGCAATCAGGACAATATTCTGCTAATACACCAGATTTGCTGCTGCATGTCTAATATTAACAATTATAAACAGCAGTGCAACTAGTCGTTGAAATAATCCTTCCAGTGTTCCAGTGTCAGGCACTACATTTCACTTCTCTTCACACCACTGGTTATCTTTGCATACCTGGGCTTCCTCCTCTTCGGTAAAGTCATTTTTGATATTGAAGGTCTTTGCGAATCTCTACAGGAGTTTGCCCCTAAAGATTATATTGGCAACAGTCTCGCACATAACATTAAGCAAACCTTTGATGTCCAAGTAGTTCACAGCCAGAATAAGTTCAAAAAGTGTTTCTTGGTCAACTTTCAGGAATTCGTGGTCCTAAACAGGGATATGGTCTGTTCGCTTTTCTTTGTTCTAATTATGGTCAGGAGGAGGAGGGTCGGCCTTGTGGTGGGTGAACCCCGAATGACCTTTTTTTAATATTGGTGCATTAACATTCGGTAGAGGAACTGGGTCACCATCTCCTTCATCCATTCCCAAACCTTCCAGACTGGTCTTCATAGTCACAGACTGTTTGGCGATTTCCACATCAACTTCAAATATCTCTCCATCAGAACTCTGCCACTTAAGTGAAGGCATGGCGTTCAGTTTCAAAGGATGGCTGGAAGCTGACAAGAGCTGAGGGGCATCTACACAATAAGATGAAAGGCAGAGGACAAGGCCACTTGAGACACTCTCTTTTTAAAAAGGAAATTGGTAGATTGCTTTGGGAAGTATAGACATTTTACCAATGTTGATTCTTCCCAGCCCTGAGCATGGTATGTTCTTCCATTTGTTAATATCCTCTGCTATTTCCTTTCTTAGGATTCCATAATTTTCTTTATAGAGGTCTTTCACCTCCTTTGTTAAGTATATTCCTAGGTATTTAATTTTCTTTGAAGCTATGGTGAAGGGAGTTGTGTCCTTAATTAGCCTCTCTATACTTGCCAAAGCGATCTACCTATTCAATGCATTCCTATTAAAATACCAACATCATACTTTCAAGATTTGGAAAAAATGATTCTGCGTTTTGTATGGAACGAAAAAAAAAACAACACTGTATAGCTAAGGCAGTTCTTAGTAATAAAAACAAAGCTGGGGCATCACCATACCAGATTTTAGGCTATACTATAAAGCCATAGTGGTCAAGACAGCATGGTACTGGCACAAAAATAGAGACATAGACATTTGGAATCGAATAGAAACCCAGCAAATGAAACTAACATCTTAGAACCACCTAATCTTCAATAAACCAAACAAGAACATACCTTGGGGGAAAAACTCTCTATTCAATAAATGGTGCTGGGAAAACTGTATATCTACATGTAAAAGACTGAAACTGGACCCATATCTATCCCCACTCACAAAAATTGATTCAAGATGGATAAAGGACTTAAATTTAAGGCATGAAACAATAAAAATCCTCAAAGAAAGTATAGGAAAAACACTGGAAGATATTGGCCTGGGGAAAGACTTCCTGAAGAAGACTGCCATGGCAATTGCAACAACAACAAAAGTAAACAAATGGGACTTAATGAAACTGAAAAGCTTCTGTACAGCTAAGGTGACAACAACCAAAGCAAACAGACAGCCTACACAGTGGGAAAGGATATTTGCATATTTTGAATCAGACAAAAACTTGATAACTAGGATCTGTAGAGAACTCAAATTATTCCACATGAAAAAAGCCAACAATCCCATATATCAATGGGCAAGAGATGCGAATGGAACCTTCACTAAAGAAGACAGATGAATAGCTAACAAATATATGAAAAAATGCTCTTCATCCCTAATTATTAGAGAAATGCAAATCAAAACCACCCTGAGAGACCATCTAACTCCAGCAAGAAAGGCCCACATCACAAAATCTCAAAACTGCAGATGTTGGTGTGGATGTGGAGAGAAGGGAACACTTTTATGCTGTTGGCGGGACTGCATACTTCCTTTTTCGAAGGAAGTATGGAGAACCCTCAAAGAACTCAAGCTAAACCTCCCATTTGATTCTGCAATCCCATTACTGGGCATCTACCTAGAAGGAAGAAAATCCTTTTATCACTAGACACTTGTACTAGCTGCTATTTAGACTGCAGCTCAATTTACAGTCTCCAAAATGTGAAAACAGCCTATATGACCACCAACCCAGGAATGGATTAACAAGCTGTGGTATATGTACACCATGGAATACTATTCAACCATTTAAAAAAATGGAGATTTTACAGCCTTTGTATTAACATGGATAGAAGTGGAACCCATTATTCTTAGTAAAGCATCACAAGAATGGAGAAGCATGAATCCTATGTACTCAATTTTGATATGAGGACAATTAATGACACGGTGGGGGTAGGGGAAGGGCAAAGCAGAGAGAGGAAGAAGGAGGGAGGGGTGGGGAAGGGAAGAGCATAGAGAGGGAAGGAGGGAGGAGGGTGGGGTCTTGGTGTGTGCCACACCATTTCGGGGCAAGACATGATGTAAGAGGGACTTTACCTAACAAATGCAATCAGTGAAACCTGGTTTCTTGTACCCCCAATGAGTCCCCAACAATAATAACCTCCCCCTCCCCAGCAGCCTGTATAGCTTATGGCTAGGAGGAGTGAGTGTTATAAGAAATGCCTGTATAGCTCAATAACGGAACACCTTGGTGGAAAAGGCATGGAGAGGGATTTAGCTCTTCTAACAAGCATGAGAGCTCGCGAGGTGAGAGCAGTGGTGAACTGGCAGTCTCTACATCTGTGGTGTTGAGAGGCATGAGATCAGCCTTATGAGAGGAGAAGGCAGACAAAAAGCATGCACATTCTATCATGGACACGCTTACTCTGACTCTGTCTCCTCTTCTCCCTGGAGAACACCAGCACAGCGTCTCTCTGCTGAAGATTACCAAGCTCTACTAAAGACTAAGCTCTACCTTTCTGAGAAGACTGCTTTACTCTCTCTAAGACGCACATTCTCTCTCTCTCTCCTGCTAAAGTAGATAGCCCTCAGGCACCTAAGAGAAACTGTTCCTGAGCAAGGTAGCCTAGGTCCCGTCCGGAACCTACCTAAGCCGGGCTGGAGACCTGGCCAGTCCCAGGCCCTGATACTCCCCCTACCCCCCAAAAGGGAGTTTGCTCAGGCAGTCATGGGGTGGGGGGATGTGTGTGTGACAAGTTTGAAATCTATAAGGCAGGCAGCAGGTTGGAGGCCCAGGGAAGAGCTGATGCTGCAGTCTTGAGTCCCAGGTCGGTCAGGAGGCAGAATTCCTTCATGTCAGGTGACCTGAGTTTTTTCTCTTAAGGTCTTCAACTGACTGAATGAGCTTCACCCACGTTATAGAGAGCGATTGATCTGCTTTACTCAAAGTCTACTGACTTAAATGTAAGCACTATCTTAAAAAGATCCCTTCTCTTAGGTCAGTTCCAGGAGAGTGCAGTGCTCTCTATGTGTTCCCGAGAACAGTTTGCTGTTTGGAGGGTTACTGGGACCCGACTTCACAGGCCTGCGTTTGCCTGAGGTTGTATGAAAATGCTTTTCTCGTGGCAGTTTTGGTTTGCTGCGCTACGCCCCGGAGGAGACAGTCTGAGGAAGCCCAGGATTTGATGTATTCTAAGTTATTCCTGGGTCCTGGCTCCCCAGATGTGGTCCCCAGACCAGAAGCATCAGCATTACCTGGGGGTTTGTGAGAAAGGAGAATCCCTTGGCTCTCGTCCAGAGGTGTTGGGCCCCGGTGACCTGTGATTGCGCAGTCCGGGTGATTCTGACGCCAGCTCATGTGTTAGAGAACCACTGTCCCAGGGAAATAGCTGGATGCATCTGACCTGCACGTTGTGCTACAGTGAATTGATATTTCTCTTAAATTTTTCTCTTAATACTTGAGACCACCTCCCCAAACACATTTTCTATTTTTATCAGCATTATCTCTCTGGAAGCCACTAAAATTGTTGTCACCTCTGCTCAGCACCCGGTTATCTTGCTCAACAACCGGGGTATTGAAACTTCC